TGCCAGAAGTGGAGACAGAAGGATAGGGGTTCAAGGTCATACTTAGCCAATCAGTGAGTTTGAGGCCAGTCTATGCTACATGAGCTCTTGTCTCAATAAAAATAAAACAACACAAAAACTAAAATCACATATCTCCACAGTATCTTTTTTTCTTAAAGGGTACCAGTCATGCTGAATGGCTTATGATTTCATGTAATGTTAAGCATTGCTTTAAAGTCCTTGTCTACAAAGATAGTCATAAAGTTAGCGGGGTACTGGGGTTATAATGAATAAATTCAGAGAAAAATGCAATTCACTCCATTACATACTTCAACCCTGAATCCACTTACTCTATGTGTCTGTATCTGTAATGTGTAGGCTAAAACTTGACTGAGTGTATAATTTTTATTTTAACTTTTTAGTTACAAAGTTAAGGTCTTACTAAAGGAGTCTGAAGGCTTTCTTCAGAGAAGCCACTATAACAAGTTTATATTGGTGTGATCTAATAACACCGGTTTTTGAGTTCCTGCTTTTTCCTTGCACATCATTCATTCAAGAGTCCTGATAACAAACATCAAGACTTAGCTCTTCCCCTCCCCATTTTTAGTCACATAAAAACACTGCTCAGGCCCTAGGATTACTTCGTTCTTTTCCGCTTCAGTCCTCTGATGCTCACTGTCTTCCAGTTGCTTGGACAGTATTGTCCATCCATCTTTTGGTCTCATCCACCTGTAAAACATAGGATAGAATCTGATTTAAAAACGACACCCTTCCAGGCTGCTGAGGTAGTTTGGCAGGTACTTGCCACCAGGCTCCCTGACCTGAGTTTGATCCCAGGAATCCCCATGGTGGGAGAGAAATGATTCCCTCAAATTGTCCTGTGATGTCCACATGTGTGCTGGGGCATACATGTGAACACACACAACACATACGCACACATACATGCACTCATGTACACATACAGACACACACGAATGCACACACACATGCACACATGCTCACACACATTCTTTTTTAATCTTCTACTCAGGAATTAACAACTAATAGCATCTTGGGTGAGTCTTCCATTAGCTCAGTAGTTATCAGCCTATGGGTCATGACCCCTTTTGGGGCTGAACAACCCATTCACAGGGATCGCCTAAGACCACTGGAAAACACAGATGTTTACATTACAATTCATAGAAGGAGCAAAATTACAGTTGTGAAGTAACTGCAAAATAATTTTATGGTTGGAGCTCACCACAGCATAAGGAACTGTATTAAAGTGTTGCAGCATCAGGAAGGCTGAGAACCACTGTGTTAGCTATTTAATTTTAAGAGAAGAATAACACATCAGACTTGATAACCTCAAAATTAATGTTAGTGTCTTCATCCAAACAAACAGAAAAGAAAAGGCCATCTGGAGAGGAACATGGAAGTATTTCTATTCTTGTTCTATTGCTTTCTGCTGCACCATACTTTCACGTCCTGCCCACCCTGGAAGTCAAATCAGGCCCGCCCAGCCCCAGAAGTATCAAAGAAATGGAACAGTCTTGAGTTCCCAGAAATCTTTGCAAAACCTCAATTTACTAAGCCTTGACCTGACTGGTTGTCACCTGAAATCCCAGGAATGCCATTTGAAATCCATCTAAAGGCCATGCCTTTAAGGTAGGAGCCAAAGAGCTTTCAAAACAACGGCTCCCTTCATCCCAGAAGCGGCCAGCAGAGCGGCACTACCCTTTCCTCCCACCACCATCTTGTAGGTTACTGATTTTTAGAGTCCTCAAGTGAACAGTTAGCACTAGAGAAAGTGCTGGCGTTGATATTTATTTTAATAATTTACAGGCTATTGGTTATTTATTTTCAACTGTGTATAACTGAGGTCTTGAAATAATGGAACTTATCAGAGGAATGTCCCCTTCACCTGTGTATAATTTGAACATCCTGAAAGGTTCATTCAGGCTCATAAATCATTTGTATGCAGAACTGAGTAATATATCACCCCAACGCTCATTCAAGCCTTGTTGGGGGAAGAAAGGCATGGGATATGAGTTATCGCTTATGAGACAGGATCTCATATCTTTGTAGCTTACATTGCCAGGAGGCTTTTTTTTATATATAACCTTCATACTTTATTTGCTTGTAGGTCATTCATAATAAAAAAAAATACTTTTACCATAAAGTCTTTTATCAAGGTTTTTTATTACACATTTATCAAAACACTCACAGGTGTTCATGACAAAGTCACTTTCAAGCCCTCAAATGGCTGATCCCCCCGAGCTCAGAGCACTTGGTACCTGAACCTGCACAAACCATGTTAAATTGTGCAGTTATTCTCTTACACATCAACCAGAAATGACAGACGTGTTCAAATCAAACTAAATGGTCTCTTAATAGGTTAGGCATTTGTCTAAAGCAAAGGCAGTGAGTGAGTGTAATTCTCCCTTTATATTGAAGTTATGTTAAGAAACGTGGCAATCTTAAGCCCTGCATAATGCAGACATTGCTTTATAAAAGATATACATCTACATTCAAGCATCAACTCTACACAAATAAATCTGGAATACTCTGTTAAAATTTATGTTCAGTCAACGTTGGGCCTGATATTAAATATTATGTGAGTTCTGCATTCTAGAATTTTGTTCTCTCAAAAAAATGTCTGTAAAGTATCCAACAGTTATGTGAGTATCAGTTGAATACTCACAAAATGTATATTTTATATGGTTTAGACATGGTCCTAGTTTCTTTTATGCGGGTGTTTTATTTGAATGTTTAGATCTTCTCGATCTTTCTGAAAAGGGATCTTCTCAGACCAGGGATATAAACTTCCGAAACTCAGCAGTTTCAAATATAAATCAGCAGTTCAAATTCTCAGGTTGATCCCTCAAACCTCAGCCAGTCCCACCAACCCCACTAAAGCATTCAAAAACTAAAGTTTCATGGCCCTGAGCATCACGTTTAGACTTTAAAGTTTGTGGCGCCCTGTGTTCTAGATGGTTCAGATAGTTGCTGAGATTTTTAAACAGACAGGAGCCATGAATGTGACTCACGAGGTTATCAAGAGGCAAAATCATGTGGTCGCTAATAAGTTTTAGCCCCTGATGTGTTCCAGGCAGCATGCCGACTGGATGTTCATTGCATCTGTTTTCACCTCAGCTGGACGATCAAAAAGAAGAGACTCTCTCTGTGTGTAGAGATAAATTGGTAGATTGGGGTGTTCATAATGTTTACTTGTTGTATTCCACAGAGAAGGGCTAAGGCTAGAACGGAACTGTTCAAGAGGAAAGCTGGTAGGGTTGGCAGGGGTGAGGGATGTAGATAAGGGCAGAGGTAACAGCCATGGGGGATGGTCCAGGTACCGGGGGAAAATTGTTAGGTGACAAGTTCAACAAAACAGGGAGGAGCTCCTGGCTTAGTAAACATGAAGCGATCCACCCATCTTCTCACTTCACAATGAAGTTTCAGAGGCCATGTCGCATGTTACCTTTATATGTAGAACTTATACATATGTGTAAACATGTAGAATAATTGTGTCTTGCTTTATGAATCTGAGACTTCACAATTAAAAACTTTTAGTGATGCTAGCATAGGAGTGTGTGTTTCCATGAGCAATCATGAATATCATTTTTATTTAATTTGTATTTATTTTGTGTATACGAGTGTTTTGCCACGTGTGTGTGTGTTTCCAGAGGCCAGATGAGGGAGGCAAATCTCCTGGGACTGGAATTACAGATGGTTATGGATGTGATGTGGGTGCTAAGAATTTAATCTGAGACCTCCGGGAGATTATCCAGTGTTCTTACCCGCTAAACAATCTCTCTGGTCCTTCCTATTTTTATTTTAAGAATGAGAGTGGAAGGGCCAGCAAAGAATGATATAAATATACTTGGTAGTGAGAACCAGTTTCTAAGCTTATACACATCATAATCATGGATTTAAAAAAAGCAAGCCAAGATTGATCTGTTAACAAGACTAGTGTTATTGAACTAGTTACTGAACTTTTCTTAGCATCACCCAAAATCTAGATAAGCCAGCCCTTGTGATGGTGCCTTTACTCTAGAGATTAGAATTAAACATCATCTAATTTAACCAGAATTAAACATCATCTCACAGCTTCATGGAAGAATCTGGGCTTGGCTTAGCAAGAAGCTTTTGACTCAAGGATGTTTGAGGGGTGATGGCCCAGGTGCCCACTTTTGTTCTGGGATCAACAGCAGTACCAACCAGTGGGGATTCGACCTCCGCCTTCCTGGTTGCTTTGGGCCCTCATGAATACTGGCAGATTCATGACATGGGATCCAGATTCCTTCAGGACAAGTCTCATAAGAGAATAGAACACCCAAAATGGAAGCCACAGCCTTTTAAATCCATGTTAGAAGTGACTTTCCCACTCAGGGAAGCAGAGGCAGGCGTATTTCTGTGAGTTCAAGGCCAGCCTGGTCTATGGAGCACATCCAGGATAACCAAAGCTACCTAGAGAAACTCTGTCTCAAAAAAAAAAAGTGACTTTCCATCCCTCTGCCATATTATGTTCACTAAATGGGGGTCAGTAAGTGCCAACCACAGGAAAGGGAGATTACCTAAGGATGTGGGTGCCAGCAGGCAGGAGTCACTGGACCACAGCAATACAGTAAGGTCTCTGTCCTCCCACAGCAATACAGTAAGGTCTCTGTCCTCCCTACTCCCATATTTTCTAATGTTGTTGCTTTTTGACATATTATTTTTGAAGTGAAATAAAAACATTAAAAGCAATCAAATTCAATTAAAGCGATAGTCTTATATTCCAAACACCAGAAAAGTCACAGCACTTCTCATTGTTGTTTTCTTAATAAGATGACTGGGCTGACTGGTATTATTGCCCTCCCTAGCCACACACGGAATCATGCTACGAACCCACGTTGAAGACTGTTAATCTAAAAGACACGTGAGGAGCTTGAGAATGTTTAGCAGTGAAGTGGCCAAAGCCCATGATAGTGGCGGTGATAGGAATCTATCCATCTCTCTGTGGCCTGACAGTCTCCTGTGTGCTTTGTTCCCTGTAGCATGCTTGAGAGTTCAAACAGGCTTGATGAAGAGCACAGGCTGATCGCCAGGTACGCCGCACGACTGGCAGCAGAATCCTCCTCACCCGTAAGTAGAAGGAAAGGAGCCACCTGCTGGCCTCCGTGGCCCTTGAATCGCTAATGCCCCTGGTCCGTTATTATCGATATGCTTGGTGCTAATTAACAAGAAAATCAGTGCTTTTTCTTATTGTCCCTCTCTGTGTTGCTATAATTATGGTGTCTCGGTAATGCAGTCCCAGCTTTAGCAATATGAAGGACAAAAAACCAAAACCTCTGCAGTAGTGGGATATTCCCAGTTGGAAGCCCCACAGACCTCCCCTTTACCCAACCTCATTCCCACAGCTGAGAAGCTGAGAATGGGATATTTGTTCTCCATGGTGCGGGCGTATTTGAGATCTGTAGAATGGCTTATTTTTAGAAGGAGTAGCAATTTAATTTTCTGTTCTTGCCCCCCACGATGGAACAGTTTCTTCTTCCCTGTCTGCATAGCCCCTGATCTTCATCTTACAGGTGAGCTCCCATTCCTAACGTTAAACAGTGTCAACCGCATGTGTTACAGCAGCCAGCGCAGCAGAGGAGCGCCCCAGACATCTCCTTCACCATTGATGCGAATAAGCAGCAACGGCAGCTGATTGCAGAGCTCGAAAACAAGAACAGGTAGGGGTCTTTTACCGTAAATCTTTGGGGTTTCCTTATGTGCCTGTTGAAGAGAGTGACGTCAGTGAAGATGGCTTCTGGAGTCTTAGTATAAAAGGGGGAAGGGGCGCCTGTAGTGTGCTGCCCGGGGATGGATAGGAAGCTGCCTGGAAGCCCTCCTCTAAGGCTAAAGAAGCGGTCAGGCAGCCTCACTATCAGCCCATTGTTCCACCCAAACGTCTTGTCTCTGCATCGGCAGGCCTCATCTCTGCTCAGCCCAGATTAGTGCCACGGAATCTGGCTCCACAGCGTCTCCCCAACGCTGCCTACTTCATCGCCAGCACCAGCTCCCAACCAACGTGTTTGCTTTGTTTGCATGTGAGCGTGTGATTTGCGTGTGTCCGTGTGCTTGTGTGTATGGGTGTGATTTGTGTGTGTTTGTATGTGTGAGTTCATGTGTGCATGTGAGAATGTGCGGACATGTATGTGCATGTTAGTGTCTGTGTGTGTGTTTGTGTATGCGTGCGTGTGTGCTTGTGTGCTTGTGTGTGACCTTGATGTCTGTAATAATCCTACTTATCCCTCTATGTCTCATTTAACCCCACCTTCCATGAATGAAATGGAAGTTCTCTAAGAACAGAGGTCATGCCAAAAGCCTCCATGGGCTCAGGAATGTGCCTAAACTTGTAGATGCTGAATAAGTGTGTTTGAATGAAAAAAAAAAAAAAATAACAAGAAGCCAAGGCAGAGATCAAACTAAGTCCTGGGTGAGCTCCCCGTGGGAATGGCTTAGAAAGTCTACACTCCTTGGAAGAACACAAATGTCTTAGCACTTTGGTCCCACTCTTAATGCTAATGTCACATTTGGTGCCATAGCCGTAAAGGGGGAAACTGGTCGTTTTTTCATGTCTGTAGACTTTAGCCTAAAGTTTTGAGTACATTTTGGATAAATCAAAACATTCCCTAAGACGCTACAGATAACAATTGAGAGACTTAGCACATGTTCGTGTGTTTTCTAGTTAACATTCTTTCGGCTGACTTGTCCTAGGACCTGGCTGTCATCTTCCAGGAAACCACAAGTCAGAGTGGACATAGTGTAAAAACTATGACCTCATGACTTCTAAATGACTCCTCTGTCCTGGCCTCACCCACCAAGGAGAGCTCCCTTACAGGGTCCCTCTAATTCACCAAGTGATAAGAAGCAAGAGCCAAGGAGGGCGAAAGAGGAGGCACTGTAAGGAATTAGGCAAAGGAGAGGGGAAATCTCTCGACGTCAGACTTTGTTCAGGATAGTTACCAGTTTATGAGTTGCTACGCTGGTTTATGTAACACTTGTTACAGACACCAGAAAGTAATTGAAAAGAAAGAAAAGTGCTCCCTTTTTAAATTTGTTTATAAAATTCCAAAGTGTCAGTTCCTTTAGGAAACCTTAGTCAATATTAAAATTGGAATTCAGAAGAGTGTTTTTTCTGTTCAGTAGCAAAGTAAACTTATAATATGTGATATGAAAGGTTATTCAAAATGCGCTGGTCTGGAATTAACAAATGTCAACATACCGGCGAGTTGCTCATAAAGAAGATGAAGGGTCCAAGTGAAAAGGAAAGGGAGGTGAGGACACAGTTATCTTTCCCAGCTGTGGGAGCCCTGTGGCTGATGAAACAGTGGTCACACTGAAGCCACTCTCCAGAGGAGGAGTTTGCCATGCAATCCTTTCGCTAATTCAGGATTCCCAACAGACATCACCGTACACACCCCCCGACTCCAGCCCTTCTTCCCTGAGACATGCTGTAACTGCTAGCCAGGAGGGAGCCATCGTCTGAAAGAGAGGTCCAAAGTTATGATTAATAACAACGAGCCAAGCCCCCAGGTAACAGAAGCAAGAAGCCTAACCTTCACTCTGGGTTGTTAAGAACAGAGGAGCAGCAACTTGTGTGTGTACAGAACACGCCCACTGGTCTTCTTCCATTTCGTTCTCAATAATCCTTTAAGGTGGCCACAATGACTGTTATTATCTGGCATACAAATTAACCTTAAAAATCATATATCCTGCCCCCCTCTTTTCTCCACTGTGACATCCTTTGCATTATCTCTGTGATCCAGGCTGGGAGCGGGAATTAGCATCATATAAAAGGTTAGGTTCATTGGACATGTCAAAATGAAAATTTGGCCATGGAAGACAAAAGAAAGAATTACAGAGAAAAACTAAAATAATCTCTGGAGAAGATGATGAAGATACTTTCCAGAGTAAATCCAAGGGGCTGAGATGAAGGGTAGACTAGCAGTGTCAATATCTAAGACTGTCCATAGGCCAAAAAAATGAAATTTAAGCTGTAGTGATGAAGACCAGTGGTCAGGGATGTGATAAAATGCCTATGTGTTTTTGATAGAATAACCAGCTAATTAAATATGCAGATTCTATTTTCACAGAGTTGAGTAGATGCTGGTGAGAAATAATAAGTACTGTGGTATCTAGATAATGCCAGAAATAGCACTAAAATAACTAGTGCAGAAGATGATTAGGCAAAAGAATAACTAGTAGCAGATTCTTTTAAAAATTCCAATTGAGAGGTTTTTTTGTTCTCTCTTTTTTCCATTATGGACTCCAGATTTCCCAATAACAATCTTAACACAGCTAGGCTTCACTAATGACCCTCTTTTACTCACTTACTTCTTCCTCATATTTGTCTAATACGAAGAGGAAAATTGGGAGTTGGAAGTGAGAATGAGAAATAGAATGTCAAGATCAGGAACAGTGTCTGCAGCATCAAGAGAACAGGTCAGAGCTGGCCTGAGTTCCACATACTTTAGGCTCCCTCTGTACCCTTTACAGACAGAGGGGAAAACAAAGTATTTGCCCACTGACCCATCAGTATTTCATCCAGGCGGCTCCACTCACCTGCCTTTTCACTTCTCCAGAGCACTTTGGTTTGTGACCCAATCCTCTGCCTCCCCAATTAAATCTGCCCTCATCTGAGTCTTGTCCTGGTTCTACAATCAGCAGGAAGTGCTGTGACTGTCTTAACTGCCTGGGCTGTGCCTCGACACCATTATACTGCTGGGTGTTTTTGTATTGGGCACTCCTAAATACATGCTTATAGACCTGGGGACAATGGTGGGAGGGAGAAGGAAAGGGATAGAAGAACAAGACAGAAGAGAATAAAAAAGAAAAGGAAAGGAGAGGAAGGGAAGGGAGGGGATAAATGGAAGGAGAGGAGGAGAAATAAAGAGAGGAAGGGAGAGAAGGAGAGGAAGGGAGAGGAGAAGAGGAGAGGGGAGGAGAGAAGAGGAAAGGAGAGGAGGACAGGGGAGGGGAGGAAAGGGAAGAGGAGGGGAGGGAAGAGCTTCATCCTGCCCTTAGAAAGGAGTGATTCCCAGAATTCCCTGCCCCTTCCCTGAGGAGCAGTTCGCCCATCCTGAACTCACCCTTCTTAAACCAGCAGCCCCACCTCAGTCCCACTCCTGCACACACACTCATTTTGGGGCTCAGATCTCTGGCACCCCAGGAACTCAGAAGAAGTGGCAGAAGAAGGAGAGAAATCGCTAACAACACATGGACCTAATCTTTCTATAACCACAGTGGGCCCCTCCTCTCTTTTATGTGGAAGAGGGCTTTCCGCAAAATAGTCCTTTAAAGAAATATTTCCACCCCAGAGCACCAGGGAGAAAACAAAAATGGCTGAAAGTCACTGACCTAGTCCAAACTCCTCACCATACCCAGGAAAGGCAGACTGGCCTCCTGATTCTCAAATAATTTTTCAAAACCGCAACCACCCTGCTGTGTTATAGAGTGTCCCAGTTGATCTTTACTGTCTATATTTTGGTTCCCATTACCTGACTTAGAGATGTCTAATACTCCCAAAAAGAAAAAGAACTGTTCATTAGCCTAATTTAATTATTACCCATTATGTGCGTTATCGTGTTATTCTATCACTTGGTAAAATGGACAATTTTGTGTTAATATAATTTTTTTACTTTTATTAATTATGCTTTCTTCACTTTGCATCCCCTCATAAACCCCTCCCTCCTCCCCTCCTAATCCCACCCTCCCACCCCCTTCTTCACACATGCCCCTCCCCAAGTCCACTGATAGGGGAGGTCCTCCTCTCCTTCCTTCTGATCCTAGTCTATCAGATCTCATCAGGAGTGGCTGCATTGTCTAATATAAATTTTTGAAACATGGAAAGCCGCACCACCCCCGGACTTGCTCAGCAAGTTTGCTCTCCTTTCTCAGTGATTTCCAGATCCCACGGGAATGCATAGCTAATAATCCTAGTTAATGGCTTCAAATATACTTACATCTAATTCAGCTTGCATGTCACTGATGGCCAGCCTAATATTCACCCACGTGCGGGGCCACTTAGCGTCAGTAAAGACTGACATATCTCATTGCCTGGCAGGGGTTCCACCAACAGCACTCTATGTCACACTCGATTACAATGAGCCCCTTTAAAAGCCTTTCCTTGTAAGGCTGCCTTCTTGGTGATTTGTTGGTAAAACTGAAGATGTAAAGTTAAAAAAAAAAATTAAACGTTATGACTTTGAGAGTTCTCTGATAATTTCAGCAAGAAACTTTTCTCAGTAAGAGAATAAGGATATTTTTGTTGTTGTTAAACAAGCATCATTTCTGCTTTCCTCTCTCTCCAACACCTCTCATTTGGTATTTATAGGTATTTGGGGATATCAGAGTGTGAGCATAAATAATGGGAGGTACCAAGGCACTCACCAATGCTGGACACAGCAGCACATGACTTCCTGGAGAGAGGACGGGTCCTAGGGATAGCACTCAGCAGCACACCACAAGGTGTGCATGGTTTGGAGGTGCTAAAGACAGGGTGGGCCCTCCCCTCAGCCATCACACCAGGGACAGCCGAAAATGCAGGGCATCCCCAGCTGAGGAAGGCCAGCTGCGCTCTCAACCAGAGACAACCCCTCTTCTCTCTGTTCTGCTGGCCTGGACTGTTCATAGTGTCCTGGAAGGCCACTGACACTGGTTCTAACCTTCCCCCTCTCTCCCAAGAGAAATCTTACAAGAGATCCAGAGACTTCGGGTAGAACATGAGCAAGCTTCGCAGCCCACACCCGAGAAGGCTCAGCAGAACCCCACCTTGCTGGCAGAACTCCGTCTCCTCAGGTAAAAATAAAAAGGACCTAACTGTCTCCAAGGAACATACAGGGTTGAGATCTGATCTTCCAATGCATCTTGTGGGAGGGTGTGTACGCAGGCGCGAATGGGTTCATGTCTCTAGGTGCACATGTCAAAGCAGGAGGTTAGCTGTCAGCAATCATCTTCCATCACTCTCAGTCTTATATACTCACGGAGTACCCTTCCCTCATCCAGAACGCCCTCTGTGGCTAGTGTGCCTAGCTAGCTTGCTCCAAGGATCCCCTGCCTCTGCCTGAAGACTATGGAGATTACAAGTGGTGCACCATGCTTCTCAGTGGGGGTGTGAAACCTGGCTCCTGTGCTTGTGTGACAAGTGTCATGTGTTCCAAGCCACACACGGCGGCCTCAGTGTTTGAGCTCTTCATCACACTCTGACAGCAGCTGGCCAGCACACAGATCTGACCACCACACCTGCCGATCTTTGTTTTTCCATAAAAGCACACTCAGTCACTGAGACATTGGCAATTTTGTAAGACTATTCTTTTGTTTTTTTCTTCTTCTTCTTTTTACTAGACACAGAGAAAAGGACAAAGCATTTCTTAGATCAAAAACAAAATCTCTTCCCTGGAAAAAGAAAATGTTTCAATTGGCTGTTGTTAGTCATTTGTACTATCAAAATGTGTGTACATAAAACCAAGCACATACGCAGCTAAATAAACATTGTGGTTTTCTAAATTGAAAGATTTATATATAACCCACAAAACAGATTCTGATTTTCTATAAATCATGTCTCCAAAAGGTCATATTTTATCATACAGGCTTAGAATCCCAGCCAATAAAGATGCTGAGACAGGAGGATATTGAGTTCAAGACTAGCCTAGCTAACATAATGGAACCCTTTCTCAAATTTTGTTGAAAGTGACCTAGTTAGCGTGTGTAAGGGCTGTGGCCTGGTCCCCAGCACCCCTTAAAAACGGATGTCACACCTGTCTTCTTCCATGGATGAGGAGCCTGGTCTCGTCTAATCTATCACATTAGGGTATTTGAGTTGGAAGGGTCAGTGGAAGGTCACGACTGCTCTCTGGGGTACCACCTCCTTCTCATGCGGAAAGCTAAAGTGCTCTGCCTTGCATGAGCGCTGCAGCTGCTCCCACGACTTCTATGCTGCAAAGTGCAGCTTTTAGTATATGCTCCTCTCGTGAAACTGACAGCCCCACTGCGCTGGATGTGACAAGAGTTCAGGTATATTTATGGAGCAAATAACAGAGGAGTAAATTCTCTCGAGGAAGATCGTATTGATCTTTCATAAGGAAGCTTTAACAATGGGGAATTCTATGTTCGCCTTCTTCGGCTTACATGCTGAGTCTACTCCACGTGTCCCCTACCTCTGTGAGCGATAGTTTTGATGAGTGCAGGTGGCGCGTCACAGAAACACATCAGAATGAAATCTCTTTTCTTCCTCCAAACACACTAAACTCAAGAGGTTCCTCATGCCCTTGTTATAAGGTCCCTGTGGCATACCTCTGTGGATGCATCTCAGGGTTCCATCCAAGATAGGCTCTTCAGACACAAGAAGCCCAGAGGAGCTCTGGAGCCCACCTGGCCCAGGCTCTAGGCCCTGCCTCTCCCGTGGCTATGACTATAGCAGACCTATCAAAGGCTTGACTTGAAAGGAGAGTAGCAGAACTTACAGATGTTGCTTAATGTAGAGTGACTGCCTTATATTCTTGAATATTAATAGACAATTAATTGTTTAATTAATTTAATTAGTAACCGCATAATGGCTTAATTAGTGGCAATAGAAATTCTTCCAAAGAATTCCTTCCAGACACCTATGTGGTTTCTGTTCTGGCTCCAGTGAGACCGCTACAAGTTCTTGCACACTCTTCTACACCATTTCCTAGAAGAGAAGAAAACGAATAGAAGAGAAAGTGGACAGTGATTTTTAATTTTATTTATTACAATTTATTCACTTTGTATCACCTCTGTAGCCCCCTCCCTCCTCCCATTCCCACCCACCGTCCCTCTTCTCCCCATATGCCCTTTCACTAGTCCCCTGATAGGGGAGGACCTTCTCCCCTTCTATCTGACCCTAGCTTATCAGTTCTCATCAGGACTGGCTGCATTATCTTCCTCTGTGGCCTGGCAAGGCTGTACCCTCCAGGGGAAGACGATCAAACAACGAGTTCATGTCAGAGACAGCCCCTGTTCCCCTTACTAGGGAGCCCACTTGGACACTGAGCAGCCTATAGGCTTCCTTTGAACAGGGGGTTTAGATCCTCTCCATGCATGGTTCCTGGTTGATGCATCAGTCTCTGAAGCCCCCCCATTCTTATACTCTTCATCGAATACATTTTAAAAAGCAAATGACTGTTTGACAGCTCTTTTGACAAACTGTGTCATGAGGAGCCTCCACAATTTAAAGTTCAAAGTTAAATCTAATGTTCAAAGACATGTAACTGATTAAGCCAATGTGGATGTAGAATGGTCATTGGTCTGCCAGGCTCAGAGTTGCAATTTGTGCCTACTTGAAATGCCATTTACCTCTCTCCAACTGATTGTTGGAGGGATTTGGGGAAGGAATTTTCATAAGCATATCTCCTGGATAGCTTTTGCTTCTTGAAGTGTTCTCTTCCATGTGGAGGATGGACTAAGAAGATAGCAGGATGAGCCTGGGTCACTGAGAATTTTGTTCCAATTGATATTTCCCCATCTCTGAAGGAACCATCATGGATGAGAGACAGTCCTAACTACCATGACTTCAGCTGAGCACAAAGCCTTCCTTCCTAAGGAGTCTGGAATCACCAATAATGTCTTTCTTACTGGCATTCCCTGTCAGCTGGTGTCCAGATGCCCCGGGTCAGCTGCCTCTTTTTCCTCTATAGTTCTCTTTCCTGAAGGAAGAACTCTCCTCTCCTGAGGGCTGTTCCTCTAGTTATCTGTGCCACTTGCCACATATGTCTTACTCCTTCTTGCTCTGTGCTACGCATTTCCAGGATTCAGAGATTGCACAGATAAACTGACACTCAGATTTAAACCAAGAAAACCTGGGAATTCTGTGCTTTAGTCTTTTGTTGTTTGACACTTTTAGGAGGACTGTAAGACAATGAGCTCAAAGTCACTTTGGCCATAGTTGGCAGGAAAGAGGAGCATCCATGGGAGTCCTTACTGTGTCTTTCCTACTCCATTCTTCCAGAATCTTTTCTTGAGAAAACAAGGAGTTACGGACTTGCTTTAATGAATACTCAACTTTATTTTTATCTTAAAATCATTATGGCCTTTCTAAATGATTATGTTTTCCTTTTGACTTAAGCCACAAGGAGACTGAAAGCCACATTTGCAAAGCAGATGTAGTTAGAAACAGGCACTTCCTGCGTGCTCATCACCTGACATTTACTGGCCGCCAAACAGCATGTAAGCTGCAGCCCTAACGCAATAGCAAACCTAGAAGAAAAGCTCTATCGTTTACTCCCTTTATAAACATGGAAACTGTGGTACACATCACGACCCTAGACCACTAAGTATGTATGCACATGCTTCCTAAGAATGACATTTTTATAACCATGGTCCACTTTCAAATTCAGGAAGTTACTGTGGATATATGTTATTTCTCATAGGTTATTCATATTAAGATATTATTGGCCTAACACTATCATAAAAGAAAATAGATTCTAACACGTAGGCACTAAATTAGAAATAATCTCACAGAATTTCAGAATAAGATGCATTAAGTTAGAGAGTCACACACTTAGAAGAAGGAAATAAAAATCATTATTTAGTCTTCATGTTGACTGACACCTTGCATATGGAGGCTGCATCACAGACTTGTACCTGTGCTGTCATTTGACAACTGTTGCTCTCAGCAGTTAGAAAGAAGACTGAACACGGGAATTATTAAATTACTGTAATAGAACGTAATGCCGTGTGTTTAATAGTACTATGTAAAACGAATGTACAATAACATGGATTTACGTTGGCTAATACTAAGTTAATCTGAGTTCACTGTTTCTAAGGTTTTAAATGCCTCCCTTACTATGTCTTACCTACACAACAGTAGAATTCTTCACTGACCTTCTCAATGGGCTCTTGTGACTAAAAATTATAGAGACAGCATGAGGTAAAAACTAAGGGTAAATCAGAAATATTATCAATTCTTGTCCCAACTCTTACTGTAAATGTCCAGAGACTACTGTGTGCCTATATGTCCAAAGAAAAACATTCAAGGTGTTTATCACTGAAGGATACTTTGGAATGAGATGGGACTACAAAATTAAAAAGCTTCTGCCCAAGGAGGCAGCAAGCAAAATAAGCTTCCATAAACCTAATCTAATCTAATATACTATACTATTATATATATATATATATATATATCCAGGCTGGAGAGGTAGCTCAGCAGGTAAGAGCACTGACCCTCATCCAGAGGACGGGGGTTCAATTCCCAGCACCCACATCATGGCTCACAACTGTCTGTAAGTGCAGTTCCAGGGGGATCTGATGGCCAATTCTGGCTCTGAGGCCCCAAGCATAGACACAGTACACAGACATATGTGCAAGCAAGGCACCCATACACTTAAAATGAAATAAAGTAAAATATCTAAAAAGGAAAAGAATATATGTGTGTGCTATTATCAGTGTGCAGCAAAGGCTGATATGTTTGTAAGTTTTACACTTTTGAGTAATTATAAAAATATGTCTGTGTAAAAGCATATTTAAAAGTTTTCATTTATGCTCCTCACCTGTCCCCTGTAAATAATTATCTTTTAGCTGAATAAGCCACAGCCTAAGCCACCGTGATCTCCCTTATACTGTCAGTTTTTTATCTCGCAGACCAGACTCTAAGTCTACTTAGTGTGGTGTCTGTGCCATTGAGACATGCATGTGCACATTGATGCATGTTGTTAAAGAATCCAGGCATTTTTAAAATGTAAGCTCAACTCAAGCAAAAAAACCCTTTGGGGACAAGAAAAAAAAATATATGTAATATATATATATGATTCATTCACTAATTATTATGAAATGATGAAGCTGGTGTCAGTATGGAAAACACGCATAGATGTCACAAACATAAAGCATTCGTTTGTTGCTTTATATTTCTGTTTCGTGTTTTCATATTTGTTAATTTTTTATTTAGCTTTATTTTATTTTGCACATGCGGGTGTTTGCCTGCGTGTCTGTGTGTATGCTATGTGCTTACAGTGCCTGCAGAGGTGAGAAGTGGGTATTGGATTCCCCGGAACTGGAGTTTCATGTGAAGTTGAGCCACCTTGTGGGTGCTGGGAATCGATCCCAGGTCCTCTGGAAGTGCAACAAGCACTTGTAATTAATGACCCAACCCTCCAGCCTCATGCTTTATTTTATCTTTGCAGTCCTAGGGACTAAGCATAAAACCTTGAGTTCATTAGGCAAGTGCCTTACCACTGAGGCCATTTTTTATGCTTGTCTTGAGTCAGGGCCTTGCTAGCTCTTCCAGGCTGGTCACTGACCCATGCTGTACCCCAGGAGGCCTTGAGCTTGTGATCCTCTTGTCTCAACGTCCAAGATACCTGAAATTACAGGCTTGCACCCCAAGCTAATACTTCTTTTCCTGCTGTTTTATTTTTTTTCTCCTTTTAAGGATTTTTTTTCCAAGCCTCTTCATGTCAACATAAATGATAGAGTGCAGATTGGTTTCCATCCTGCTGACAGTTTAATAGAAGTTATGTAAAACAAACACAATTTTTATTCATCACTTTCAGTTATAGAGCAAGTATTCGGGAACTCAGTTATCCTGACTTCACTTTTTGAAACCACGGCCAAACGAAATGCTTCAGAATGTATAACCAGTCTGATCATTACCGTTTCACCTCAGAAGGGTACCAATTGCACACATACTAGAACAGATGTTAAATTACATCCCTACAACAGATTTCCAAAGGTCATGACAAATTTTATGTGAATTTATAGTAATTGCTTTGGATTTTGAGGATTTGTAGGGCTAGCCCTCTTCAGTGACTTTAGGTTTTTGTTTGATTTCTGAAGCCAATAGTACAGACCAAAGCTAGCTAGATCACAAGGAAAGAGTGAAAATGCCAGAAGGGATTTCTATCCTGCTTAAATTTAGTGTGGCTTCTATCAAATCACAGTACCCCTCATATTGCAATCTTTTACCCATTTGAAGACAGTTGTCTACCTGGTAACAATATCAAAGCCTAGACATACCCTCTTAGAGACAGCCCACTCCATACCCACAAAATCTGGAAGTGGAACTAGCTTGACTCGAGTGATTTTTCTGATGAGTGTCTTTCTTTTAGACAGCGCAAGGACGAGCTAGAACAGAGGATGTCTGCTCTTCAGGAGAGCAGGAGAGAGCTGATGGTCCAGTTGGAAGGTCTCATGAAGTTACTGAAGGTAAGGCGTTCCAAATCAATATTTCCGACCTACTATTGTGGCATTTTAAAATTGTTGGCACATAACTTGCTCTTTCAATTACTACATGCAATTTCCTCCCAAAATATTGCAAACTCAAATATGGAACTATTTCTTAGGCCTGTGAAACAGTATCAGCTGATCAGTGGTAGCTCTCATTCTCACCCACTTTCTGAAACTCGGCTGCCAAGGACCATAAGGCAAACCCTTTGCTCATTTGCAGTCTCTTTATGTCCTTGAAAATTATAAAGCTGGGTTTGTTTATAAATGCTTTTGATCAACTTTAGCAATTCTGACTGTATTAAACACAGACTAATGTCTAATCCTGGAAATTAAGAAATGGTGACAACACATCTTGACAACAACAGTCAATATTTTATTGCATTTGTATGGCTTCAACAAGTAACATGACTTCCCTGGGTCTCAAGTGCAAATTGTAAGTGGGATCTCTCCTCTCTCCTCTGAGGGAAAAGTATTAAATGGTAGAAGTCCTGTTGAGTGCCGTGTTATTTCATTGGAAGCAGCAATCTCCTTTAATGGGCCCTCAATTCTGTTACTGGTATAGCAATTAATTTGCAAGCTAACAGCAGATGGACACATGGCCACTCCAGCTAGTAGCAGTGTCAGTGCTCCATGGTCATCTGTTCTGAGGGAAACAAGTGGGAACCAATATAAACAGGAAGTGCCAAGTGCCAAAGGCAGCAACTGGGATTCCTGGTAGTATGCCCACAGAGGAAACGTCCCTATGCGTTCCCTGTGAGACAGGAATTTGAGACTTGCTTTCAGCCTGTCCATTTCCCATGCCTCACCAACACCAGCATTTGTGGTTTCTCTGTTGGTTTCTTTTTTCTTTAATTTCTCCTTTTCTTTTCTTTTTCACTCCCATCTTTCCTTCCTTTCTCTTTCTTCGTTTAACCTTTTTAAAAACAATTTTTTGTGATGCTTTCTGTGGCAGACACTGCATTTGCAGCATTTCTTCCATTCGTATTTTTTGGGTTTTTGTTGTTGTTGTTGTTGTTGTTGTTGTTGTTGTTTTTTGGGGGGGTTGCTCCATTTTATAACTTAGCCAATATTTTTGGCTGTCAGTCCCTTCTTTCGTAATTGATTTGGGAAATACTTTTTTTTTTTAATCAATCAGATGTACTTTCCATATGTTAGACATATGAAGTATAGAACCTGGGGTTTTGTTGGTTGGTATTGGTTCTGTCTATGGTAAGACTAGATCATTGGAAACCTGCTGCTGTTTCTAGCCTATTGTCTCATTTGATGCAACAGAAAAAAAAATCTCTTTTCTGCTTCCCTTTGAAAATATGTCAGATGAAAAAAATCTCAGCCCATCTTGCCCTTCCCTGAATGGCAGGAAATTTTGAAAAATCTCTCCGCTGGCGTTCCCATGCTTCTTCCGCTGTAGTGATGAGATAAGCGTCTACTGGCCAGCGGCCTCTTGGCAGCAGGCCTGCCCCCCTGAATACAGACTTTGTACCGAGACACAAGTTCAACGATAGACAGACAGATCAGACACATGGAGGAAAGGAATGGGTCTGTTGTCTCAAATACCTAAATAGGCTTGGAACTAAAGTGACAGGGGTGGCGGAGGCCAGGAGAGGTGTTCAAAGCCATGGTAATGCCTCCCCTCTCCTGCCTTCCTTCACTGTATACATGCTCTGGTTGGAATCTTGGGTAATCTAATTGTTATTGATTCAATCTTTCTGTAGGAAGAAGAATTGAAGCAGGGAGTAAGTTATGTCCCCTACTGCAGGTCTTAACTAACAGTGGAGGGCTGCCGTCCTGCTGGTGTTCTCATTGCTTTGGCCTCTAATGTCTGTTCGTGCTTCCGTTTGGAAAGAAAAAAAAATAAATCATACTAATTTGCTTCCATTTCAACGTAATGCTTGAATTGAGATTATAAAAGTCAGCACTCTGTTATAACTATCACTGCTGTCGGCAATAAATGAAGATCTGTTCCATGGTTAAGAGGGAGAACATGTGATTCGTTGGGAAAGTCTTAGATCCCCGAGGGCGTTAAGTTTCAAATCCATGTTAAGCTCTTTGAGGTTATTGACAGGACCCCTCTCTTAAGAGAAGGTCAGTCATTAGAGCTACACAAAGGTCAATGTCGTCTCCCAAGCTGCAGCCCCCAAGAGCAAACCTCCACACTGTGAACACTCAGTTCGCCTTCCACTTCTCTGAAAAGGCGTAGAAATCCTTCTCATAAGAATCAGGTAATGGATCCCTCTCCATCACATTATCTATGCATCCATGCCCTCCATCCTGTGCCCATAAGTGTGTTCAGTCCTGTTAAGACTATGCTTGGTAGCTAACTGTCCTCCTCACATCTCTTTAGTTTTCCTACAAAGCTGTCGGTTAACAAGATTCTATGAAGACTAGGCAACTTTCTTCCCCTCCATTCTCACTGAGGACCTTTCTGCTCTGTGATTCCATAAGCTCATGACACATGTGTTTTTCTGGAGACAAGGGTATCATGACTATTTCACAGTGTCCTACCCTGAAGCCCTGTTTTTGACCTTGTGGTCAGGTTTAGAAGCAGGCAGAAGGGGTAGCACACAGAGAAAGTAAACTAGAGCAAAAGAAGAGCAGCCTGAATACTCTGTGCATGTACCAAAGTGTTTGATGATATATCCCAGTTACATTATTTAAAGATTTAACGTTATATCCATGGTTAATTAGAAATTCAACCTGTCCGCTTTTAACAGATCTGTTAATTCTTCTGTATGCTCTTTTCTATTATTCATTCTGTGTGTTTGTGTATAACAAAGAATGTTTGCAAAACACTGGAAATCCTTAACTCTTCATTCCCAAGGTTTGTAAAAAATAAATAAATAAGATGAAGAAAAGGAAAGAAACATGTTAAACCAATCTGTAATTCAGACAATAAAAACAATGTGCAACATTATTTTGTATATTATGAAGAAATTACTTTATTGAGCTGACGCCAAATTTTCCCCAGGGATGACTCCCTTGTGTTAAAGATGCACTGTATCGGTAGCCTCTATCATTGTCCGTCCCTCCATCCCTGGGCTGTGGCCACTGGACTTAGATCATGGCAGGACAAATGCCTATCCCTTGATACCTCTTTGCAAACAGGCTTTTCCCCCACCTCTTATTTTGCATGTCGATAGAAACAGAAAATGATGCCCTAATCTAAGCTTCTCCCTCCCACTGGATAGAGAGGGCAAGTAATTGTCTTGCTTTAACATTCATTTCCCCTGGGATGTCTTCTCTCTATTTCCCAAGCAATATATTCTGGAAGGCACTGTGGATTCACAAAGCCAGGCTGTGGGAGGGCCCTTTGGGTAGATCTTTGTGCCTTTCTACCCCTTGCTTGCGGAGTTCCTCGCGCCCCTGCACTTTGAAAGGTGGCGACAATGAGGACTGCAGCTCTGATAGAAGTCATCTGTCAGTGCCACCCGAATGTGGGCAACACACTCATTTACTCTTATCTACTTGGTTTCTACTCAAACTTTTTTTTAAACTGATCTGAGACCAAGGTCACTTACACCACAACATATAATCAGCAGCACCATAAAGCTGAAATAGAAGTACATGGAACTAAGGAAGAGAAAATGGGACTGTGTCCCCTAAGGGGACAAGGGTGATATTGTGAATCCTTGGCAACAAAAGAGGAAAATTCAGTGCAGGGTTTTATCAGCATAGAAATACCACTTCTTGGAGTTCAGAATGTCTTCAGCATTAAGTACTAAAGCAATCCTTCATTCAGAGCTTTATAGAAAATGATTGAACAATACAATAGAAAAATGCAGTCATAGATTGGTCATGGCTTATGCTGATCTTTAGCCAACACTAAACACAGAACCCCTTAAAATCCAGCCCCATTGAGGTGGTTCTATGAGAAAATGAGCAATTCCTTCCAACTCAAGTTCTCGTGGTATAACATGATCTAAGGAGAGAATTTAGAGGTTTTAGATTGGCATCTACTTCTAAATTCTGTTTTATGAGCCTTTCCCCTTCGGAATATTCTCTTTGTAAAAATCAAACTCAAAATAACCAGTACAACAAATTGTGCTTGATTTAATAACCTCTACTTGCTTTATCACAAATCTCTATGGTTCAATGTAGTGTTTTATTATGCTGGTATCTATAATCCCTACATATATATACTGTTTCTTGTTATAGGTAATGCATGAAAGTCTTCCCCTTGAGGAGAGAACATGAATTTAAAAAAAAAATAGTGCCTGTAATATAATATGATTATGGTATCACAAGCAATAAATTGTGTTTTTTACAAAACTTGAATCAAAGTTATCCTACCCTCTTTCTTCATTGTGTGCCCTTAAGATTTACTGAAAGAGCTATAAACTGAGCACTCATAAAGAATTCCTTAAGAGTGGAAGCAGCTGGGCTGCACTTACAGTAACAATATGCTTCAGAGTTTCTGATATATCCCCAGTTCCAACGATTATGGATAGGTCCAAAACCAAGCATCTTAACATTGAGTTTGCAAAATAAAGCCTCAGTCATTTTCTTAGAAAGATTACAGCAGATGGGCCTGAATTACAGGGGCCCCTGCTCTAACTGACCGCTTCTGAGATACTGAGAGAGTTAACTAACCTCCTGCTCATTCATTTCAAATCCTCCAGGAGCCTGTGACTCACAAGATTACTGTGGGAGTTTTAAACGCTAGTGGATGTGAAAACACTCTGTGAAAATGCTGTCTGGGTATCAAATATAAAACAAATATCTGTAGACATGCCTATAGGAACTTTTCAAATTTTTGAACATTGCACATTCACTTCTTCTTTCCTAACAGTTACTTAACACAGTCTCAGTCTGGGGAAAAGATGTGAATCTGACTTTCAGTTTTGTAATTGCAACAGTAGAAAACAATCCTGTGCTTCAGAAGTCACAGAAACTTGATACCACAAGGAGACTGTCTTGCTTCTGTTGACGTCAAGTATGTCCCTAGATGCTAGTGTCTGTAGGTGTTTGCTGTCAACACAGTC